TATTACCAGGAGAGAATTAATCTCTGCCAAATAAGGAACGATTTAAATTATGCAGTTAAGACAATGCAGGAAATCACCTCCCGCGTCCGGCCAGACATATAGGGGCTCTGCTTCCTCCCCATCACGCTTTGGACATTGATTACTTCTACAGAGCCACCAGTTCTGCTGTCACAAACGCACATCTTGTTTCAGAGACATGTTAGCGTGTAATTGAATGTAACAACACTGATTATTAGAGGCACTTGAATTGCATCCCTGGGGCCTTTGCCATTTACAACAGGCAATGACATGGAAATGATGGTTTTTACCACAATTCAAGAGGGATCTTAGCTGTTTACAGGCAGGACAAAAAATAATTAGCTTGATTAGCTATTGTTTTGTTTTACCATGTCTTTGTGATACCGCGTAGAGCATCATTAAGGACGGACCGTGGTTGCACACAAACACAGTGCCAGTCAACCGCAGCAAGGCACTACTTGTTTTATTTTTCATTTCTTCTCTCCATATATTCTCTGCAGCACATTAAACAAAGGTTTCACAAACACAGATGATAATTCCCTAGAAATGCAAAACAAGATTTCAACACATAAAAAAAAATGCACAGGGGGTCCATATGAGTGTCCTGTTAGTGTGTCTTACCAACTGAACCACCAGCTTTCCAGCATTGAAACATATCTACTGATTCTTTTTTGTTTCTCGTGCTTAAATGTACCACACTCTATCCTTCTCCCAAAAAATAAGCAACACAAGTCTCATCGGGTGGATGGTATGATTGTTATTTTAATTCTTTTTAGTTAAATCAACTTTACTCAATTACAAGAATAATAAACCTTTATTTACATAAAGAATACTAATATAAAACAAAATAATTGCAAATAATTTCAAACTAGAAATTGTGTATTTTCATTATATCTATATGGCTCTTTTCATTTCAGTGGCAGTGGAACATTGACCTCTGTTGCATCATCTCTTATTTTCAACAGCTTTAGAGACATATTTTCTCATTCTTGCTAAGTAAAGAATGTCAGTACCGTCGTCTGATTGGTGGCTTTAATTATGCCTGCACTGACGTGCATGTTAGCCGTGTTCACTATATCAGCCAGAGTCAGGTCTGTGCAGACACACAAGCAATTTAGTTCCTGCTGTCTATGCCACAAATCCTTTCTGATGTTCAGTATGTGATGTTGGGGAGTGCTTGGAGGATGCAGAAAGGACATTTTGATAAGATACAGATCTTAAATCAAGACCTCTTCTGTATAGTCTTCTGATTTAGTTAATGTATAGATATTTTCCTGTTTTTGTTTGTTTATTCATTGATATTTATAGTGGGAATTATGTCAGGCAAACACATATAATTCGAAGTAATCTCTGTGGCAAACAGGCTTTCCTGGCTTTGTGATGGGTGGCATTTTTCAGCTCTCATGACAGTTCACAATAAGGATTCAAAATGCTGGGAGGATTTCATGTGATATCTGTACGTGATCTTTGTATGAATGCAAATTAAATGGTTTGGGGAAAAGAGGAGGCTCATGAGTGATATTAACAAAACTCAGCATGAACAAATGGATTCTTCATGACAGGCAAACAAATAAGTCAAGCACGAAAACAAGATACAGACATGATTTGTGACAGTGTGAGTCCTAATTTGAGCATTTCACTTCATGTGATTAAGAAACTAGCCTCTAAGTGCTATGTGTACGTCTTACCTTGTTTTGTCTTTTGCCTCCAATGAATACCAGCTGTTCATGCTTTGATTTTGAGCAGTGTTTATTTCAGGATCCATTTAATAGCACTGACGCAGGCTTCCGAGGTATATCTAAGATGAATCTTGTCACGTCTGGTGTCTCGTCATGTCATGATTACCTATTGTGTACACCTGGGGTTCCCCTCCCTCATGTGTTTAAATAGTCCTCGTTTCCCCTTGTCTTGTGCGAGTGCTTTCAAGTCCGTCTTGTCCGTCTGTCCTTCGTCACCCCCACGCCAGGTTTGTTTTTTGTCACAGTTTTGCCACAGCTTTGTCACAGTTTTGTTCATCTTTATTTTGTTACTTTGTCACAGTCATAGTTTTGCCTCAGTCTTGTTTGCTTATTGCTTTGTTACTTTGCTCACAGTTTTTCACAGCTTTGCTTTTTTACTTTGTCTGGACTTCCACTTTTTGTTGCAATAAACCTTGTCTTCCCTCATCTCCGCACCTGAGTCCTCCCTTCAAGAACCCACCTACATGACAAATCTGAGGAGCTATTAAACACAGACAATTTGCTTTTGGACTTTTATGTTTTGAGAGATTGTTTTTTTCTTGTAAAGTGAGTCCAGAGAGTGAGAGAGGGACATACAATCGGAGTAGATGCGGTAGCTTTGGATAAAACTGAATAAAAACTTTGATAGAAATCAATACCCTAATTGAATTGAACATATTCTCAGCACATGTTGTAAAGAGAAATATTTGATCAATATTTGCCGGCAGTTTATCAGATTCATTAGTTATCCAAACCAAGGTTCAGACTTCATTTTAATACGTCAACTTCCTCCGCAGTTTGACTGTTGTTGTGTTGCACAGAGACTGTGCTTGGTCCTTGAGGACAGGAGGCCAGTTGTGCATATGCAGCAAAACACCTCCCTGCTCAACCAGTCATCCAAGCTGGAGACAACACGCCCACTCTAAATTGAGGAGCAAAATGTTTCCGTGCAATAAACTGAAACACAAAAGCATACATAATGAGACACACAGGGAATGCTCAAACACTACCGCCACGGCAAGAAATGGGGTGGCTGCTTTCTAAAAGAAGAGCAACATTTCACAGTTCTTCTAAATTAGGAACATCTCAGTTGCTATAGCAATGCTGGCAGACAACCACAGTCTTTTATACTTTTATGCTCAAAACAACAAAATTTAACATGCCGCAAGCGTCTCTGCAAACATACTGTAGGTCCTCAGCAACCTCAAAACTTCCTAATAGATGTAATATAAGCATAAATATATCATATTGTAAATAACTGGACACACACAGTCTTTTGTCTGCACACACGAGCACATTTGTCCCATTATACTGATCTCTGTCTTGCTTCTACTACCCTGTCTCCTCTCTGTTGTAACAATTCTTTTCCTCTCTTTTCTTTTTCTGTCTTCCACATCTGACGGCACCGAGAACATTCCTTCCTGTTCTTCCCCTCACTGACCGACTTCTCCGGCGCAAGAATCTTCAGAAGCCCCCTGGCTGTTTTGCACAAGTATCAGGGACTAAAGAACGGTTCATGCTGCAGCCGACATTGTTGGTGTGATTCATCTGTAGGTGCAGAGGCAGGATGCTGAGGTGACGCAGGAGGTTTAATATTGGACTGCGTGTTCCCTATGGTGTTAAAATGAGCAGAACTGATAATGCTGTGTGCAAAGGATTGGACTCATGATAGTAAAGAAATTATCTAAATTTCCCAAAAAGCTGGAATTCCTGCAAACTGGTGATGTTGAATTAGGATTTCATGGCTGCAGTGTGTGCAGATACATCCTTCAGGGCAGTGTTGCAGTAAGTGGCACACGAAAGTTTTCACCGGTAGAGTTAACGGTGGATTAAATTACATATCAGCAAGCAAACATCACAGCATCTTTGAAAAGCCGGAGGACAAAAATGGGAAGATTAAAAGGATGGCCTGAACACAGCCCACAATTCACAAGGTGTTACCTCAACAGGAAAAGCTAAAGGAAAATCAGTGAGTCCATCCCCACAGAGAAGTGGATCCGAAGAAGAGTTCCTAAATACCCCTCAAACAAAAAGTGAAAGACTTTTGACATCTGTAATTTTTAGTAAGGGTTCATAAAAAGTTTGAGATGTTTCCTTTCTTTTACAAAATGGCTATAGCTGAACTTTTTACTTGATTTATTTGTCATTATTATTATGATTATTATTTATTTGATTTAAACTTTATTATGAACTTTAGTTTAAGAGGGATTTTTTTTTTAACTGTTAAAATTGATTAGGCACATGAGGACAGTGAAGGCTCTCCTGGTTAGTCATTTCTGAATACTCTCCTGGTGTTAGTCTCTTCCTGCGACCAACATCCGTGTAACCAGAGAGGATTTAACACTTGAGCTCATGGCGACAGCTGCATCCAGCAGCCTTTCTCTGCTCTCCGGGCCAGCAACATGGACCCCCAACTGTGAGTTTAACATCCCAGCCCTGAGAAACAATTCTATCCATCCATTTTCTCTACCGCTGATTCACAACAGGGTTGTGTGTCTCTATGTGTGAGGGGAAGGGGGCTAGAGCTTAACCCAGCAGGGTTTGCAAAAAACTGCATTTTTCAGCCGATTCCCTATTGGTGTAGCTTCATATAGAATTTCAGAAACAGTGAAACATTTTGTGTGTTATGACATCTTTCACTGATAATTTACTGTAAAGTAGGATTTTTTTTGTCATGACACCCGCTTTAATGTCTTTTGGCAAGCCCTGATGGGTGCAGCCAGCTCAGGCTGGACACTCTCAGTACATTGCTACAAGGCTGCTGTAGCATTTTAAGGGCAGATAACAGACTATCAAAAAGGACATCTTCCATGCACTACACAAACATGGTGTATCAAGTCTGACCTTTCCTTTCTCTTTGCACTGTCTGAACTTATTAGCTTTTCACAGAGGAAGATACACCATCAACTGCAACCACTATTTTAACTCACTCCTCCTCTCTGACACATACTCTGATGCAGAGATGGATCATAAATGGGTAGTGGGATGATAATTGTTCTCATCTTCACTGCCGTACTCTAACATCCTGAACTCCAGGGCTATTTGAGGAAAGCTGATAACTCCTATCTACAGATGTGTTAATTGGGCTTTTCAAATGGAGCCAGACGAAAGCCAGAGCCTTGGGAAATCACATGTGATTCAGGCTGACCTTCATCTAATGGTCTGGGGACTTCACAAAGCTGGGCTGAGCAAGATCTGCAGGAGAAAAAAAAGAAGACACACTACTTTCAAACAAGCCCCAGAGACACAGAGGAGGTATAGGACGTGGTGCATAAATTTATTTCAACATATATCGATATTTTGTTTATTCATCTTGTTGAAGACAATACGCATTATATTTACAATTAGAGCCTAAAATGAGATTTACTGGCGGAGGAACTGTTCATCATTTGACTAGAATGACATGAATAACAGGGGGCTACGCTCTGCAAACATCAAATAAAGCCTGTTACAGTGATTCTTATCTATACCATTCCTGTCATAACAACCCATGAGAAACAATTATTCATCTGTCAAACAGAAATAGACAAAAATACAAATGCCTTTGATGCAAAAGTGAAATCAGAACGCCACCTTTTGTATACAGGTGTCATGCTGCATTATAAAAAGCTGCGTCACATGACACTGAGTAGATTTTGACTTTGTTAAGTTTTGAACTGGGCCAGAATTTATGTTATTCTGCATTCATGTATCACTGATATTACAACTCATTAAAGTGAGACATTCCAGTTGTTTTTATTAAAAAATTCAAGATAACTGATCATTTATGTGTGAGTCATGGTTAAAATCAGTCAATATATTGTCTACTTCTCACAGATAACATTTTAAGAAGCTTGTACTACAGACAATAACTTCCTCTGAGTCAGCTACAAGTGTACTGTATCAGTTTAACTGTAAATTGTACCATGTCGTTTCTAATAAAAAATGTTTGGGAGTATTTTTGTCCTAAAACAGTTCCTTAAGTATTGTGATCTTGGCTTCATCTATTTTTGTGATTTCTGTCAGAGAAATGTATATAATGAGGAAAATCCGTGGCGATAAGTATTGTACAGTATAATATTATATTGTATTAATTATACTATGCAATTTGATCAGAATATTTCAGAAAAAACATAATAGAAAAGTAACAATCTTAATCGTAATCGGCTTGTTGATTGTCATTATGATATATTGTTATTGCAATATTTGTCTTTCATTTACTTTTTGTTTTTACCTTCTGTGTTAGACTTTTAGTAGATTTGCACTGTATTGCTTTATCTTTTGCCCACCCTATGAAGCCCATTTAATCCTTATTGGTTTTATATGCATGTTGCAGTATTATATAAATGGAATAATGATTTGGAGGGCAGAATTAATTAATGTTGCATGTTAATTTAGTGAGGGATTTTGATTAATACAACAAAGCAGCTGGACATACAATATGTGTTTTTTAGGGCATAAACATAATCTCCAATGAGAGAAAATGGAACTGGGGAAATTACAGGAACCATTACCAGTTTTGATTATATCTGATGAGACTGCATAAGGACTCTAAAGGTACTCATAAAGCGTAGACATTCTGCGCAGAGATGTGTCATCCAAAATAACAAGCAAAGCAGCTGTCATCAGGGGCTGTGGATGGCTGGGAGGGGGGCTCAACAGTCTCAATTAGACTTGATGCTCAAGAGGAGAAAAAGAAACTGAACCTGAGGAGTGCCCAGTACAGTGATGAGCTGTCATGGAAGGAAAGTAGAAACAGGAAACACAGACACATATTCTCACACAAACGCACACGCACACACACCTGCCCGGTGTGAGACTGATTCAAAAGAGGAAAATAATGCTAACGGCGGAGCATTCTACCAAACATTTGGCGCTCTCAAGATCCTTTCATAATTAGCAGCAACTTGATGAAAGCCGAAGTCCAGGTCATGGTCAATCAGCATTTAAAAAACACAGCAGCTGACACAGCGGTCATCTTCCCATGATGATAAGCACCTTGTCTTTGCCATCCATGTGATTTATTTGGAGAGGAGAGGTGAGGCTAAATTAAAGTGAGTCGAATGACTGTGGTTCAGATAAAACCCAAACCAATGCAAGTTAAAACAAATGCTGCTACTATGTCACACTATGTACCTGGCTCTAGATTGCACATCATTACATACATTTGTTGTGATAAACTGTACATTCTCTTATATTTCATTGCTACATACAGTGCATTACATCACCAGTGACAGTAAAACTCTAAAACGCTTTACCCTTTTGTAAAAAATCGGTACAGCTACATAGTTGATCTACCAGGTACTGTGGTACAGTTCTAGAAATATCAATAACAATATCTAGGAGTTGTCTTCTTTTACAAAAATGTTGTGCTTTAGCATTTGAAATACACACACACCAGTTGGAAAAGAAGATCAGCAAAAAGAAAAGTTCACCTTTCCTTGTTCAAACCCTTAGAAAATGCACAACCCCTGTACTCTCTTGTGACTCACTGAAAATTAATCCTACCAAGAGTCCCATTGTGTCTACCAGCCTCTAAATGGAATTCCATCAATGATTAAATGGGAAAGGTTCCACTGAATTGTCCTGAGTTGATGCCGATCACTGAGAATCTGTCTCTCAGTCTAGACATCTAAATTAAAAGATGTTTCTCACAAACTGCTACATTAATGTTCTCATTTCTCATTCCCCCTTTGTAGCAATTTATATCTTATATGACTACAACTGACTTTATGCATCGTGGGTTGGTAGGAAGTCTCAGAAACGGCAGTTGAAAACAGTTGTCCTTGCCAACATCACCTGCTCAGGTGAAATTTAGGCTTTCCTGAAACTAAAACTGTGAGATGAACGGACACTTAACTACAGAGACATGGAGCGAATCTAAGTATAGAATCATTAGCACCACCACAGTGTATGGGCAAGAAACACAAATGTCAGGTTGGCAGAGTGAACAGCTTAAAGGGGCATCAGCTGAATCTTGAACTCTGCCTGGATGGCTTCTCCGCACTGGAAGCAGTCTTTGGTCACTAATCATAACCTAAATGGCATTGAATATAAGCGATAGCTTGTCCAAGAGTGTACCACTGATTGATGATGTCCATTTCCACAGCTTGGATAGGATCCTGAGATGAACTCTCATGGTTTGAGGACCTCTGTTCTTTCCCCAGGCTCAGTGGTAGTCATCAACACCTCTTCACAGCCCGTTATTTACTGTGGAAAACCATCTGATTTCCAGATCTGACTTTAGTGTGGTCACACACAGATTTCTATGGCAGTCGCCATCACCATCTGGCCTTTGTTCTTGTCTCGCCCGGGAGACTGGTGTTGTCCAGCCTCCTCCCTGGGAGACAGAGGGTCAGAGAGGACACTACGTTTGAGTGGTGCTGGTCGCAGGCAGGATGTTCCTGGAGGGGTGGAGGGCTCCGGGTGTCGGTGGGAGGGCCTTGAGGGAGTGGACGAAGAGGAGGAAGTGCAACTGCCGGTGCACAGTCCTGAGCTGGACCTCTCGCCTCTCTTCGCCCGGTAAGAGGCTCGGCGCCGGAGCTCGCTGACCAGCTCGTACTTGATGAAGCAGAACACATCTTTAACCCCGCAGCGCTTTTCCGGGTCAGCGGCGAGCAGCCTCTGAAACATGCGCAGGGCGTCATCAGTGAAGCGGCGCCACTGAGACGGGTAAGTTCCCAGCGGGCACCCCGCCTTCTGCCAGCGCCGGAACTCCTCGTAGAAGGCGTCGGCCGGCAGCGCCGCCTCCCAGGGGAAGTTGCCTGTCAGCATGCAGAAGACCAGCACGCCAAACGCCCACACGTCCAAACTGGTGGTCACAAGGAAACCCTCCGCCCGGTTGGCGCGGCACACTTCCGGCGCCGTGTAGGGGATGGTGCCGCTCACCCGTTTGACCCGGCAGCCCACGCGCCGGGTCATGCCAAAGTCAGCGAGCTTAATGCGGCGGCACTCGCGGTCAAACAAGAGCACGTTCTCTGGTTTGACGTCTCGATGCACCAGGCTCTTACTGTGCATGAAGTCCAGGGCCAAACCCAGTTGTTGCATGCAGCGTTTGACCATTTCTTCTGGCAGACCCACCTGGGGAAGGACACAAAACATAAGAGTGGGCATTCACTTCATCAAAAACATCTCACTGATGTGACACAGACACGGTGTGAAGGCTCCACTACCAGTAAAACAACCAGTCAAGTGACGATAAGGAGAGGTCTGAAAGTGCAGGGAGAGAAGTGATATGCTCCAAAAACGAAAACTGAAATAACAGCCTGAGCTCCGAATTCCATGGCAATCTCTTTTAATGAGTCTTCACAACCCTCGAAGTCAAGCACTCCCAGCACATCAACTGGAATAGCTCTGAAGCAAAGTGAGGGCTTTGTGGGAAAAGAAACCGGGACAAAGTCAAGACTCCAACCCCTTGAGAGCTTGTTAAAAAGGCTGTGTCTGAACATTTTGACTGATTGGATGGGCTCAAGTTGGGTGAGAATGTTTATAAGAGGAGGAAAGGATGATGGCCCTACCTGTGGTGGTATGATATCAAAAAGGTCCCCAGCGGGGGCATACTCTTGCCCGAACACATAGCTGTCCTCTGTCTCAAAGAGCACGTCCAGGATTTTGATGATGAAAGGGCTGCAGCTAAGTGAGCCCGTTAGACTGTACTCCCGCAGGAAACTTTTGAGCTTCGTCTTGTTCTTGGTAACGAACTTCAGAGCCATTTTGGTGCCTGCAGAAGCCAGAGATTACACTCAGCTTTAATAGTCTCTGGTAGGGCTACAGAGATCACACCAGTCCACCAGCCTAGCTTTGAATCTTTTGTCTTGAGTGCTTTAACTCACCCTGTGTTCTGTGGGCCACCAGGTCTACCTTGCCATACGTGCCCTTCCCCAGTTCGCGAATGTGCTCGTACTGTTTGGCTACGTCTGCTGCGGAAAGAGTGGTGATGGTCAGAGCCTGCATGTCTTCCACAGGGACGCCTCCACAGTAGTCCATTTTGGACGTGGGCGAGCCCCCGCCGCTGCCCGCCCGCCCGGGTCCAGACGGGGAAAGAGACAGGCTCGCCTTGACGCTGTGGGGCAGACTGATGAGAAAACAGAAATCATGTGTTCACAACAGCTCATGTTTTAACCTGCATCTGTGCATTATATACATATTGTGTTCATGTTTATACAGCTTGTCCCAAATGGATGATAAAAACAGGAATACTTCACCAGACCCTAATTTCCAGGAAATCAATGATGGGTATGCTTTAACAGGGGGGGAGACTTTCAGTAAATGCATTGGACTTCCTGCTGCTTCTACATTACAAAGAACAGTAATGGCAGAACTCAGACAGCACTTACTGGCAGACGGCTATAGGAAAATCAATAGAGGAACTAACAAACGGCAAAAAATTGACAGAGCAGAGCGCTTTGAGGATTACACGTACCAACAAGACATGCTACAGATCATCTGTGACCAATACTACACATGTACACTTTTCCCTCAGAGTAAAAACAGTAGAGCTCCTTAAGAGCGGTTGCTCATTATTACATTTGGCTTACTTCCTGGTTGCCGAGAGGAGTTTATCAGTTTGCTGTAGTACAACAACAGAGACATTATGAAAATTTGAAAATGGGTCAAACATCTCAATGAGGGTAAAAAATATACCTTTTTTAATTTGTCAGGGTTGTGCGTTTGTGGATGTCTACGTTAATCTGGGATGAAATGGCAAGTTGACAGACAACTGAAACGATTAAAAAAAGAAGAATAAAGAACCTTTTGATGACACTGCCTATTACACACTGCCTCTTTTTCTCTTAACCCCCCCCCTCTATGAACACAATCATCCAATCATGCACAGCATGCACAAACACAATACTAATAGGCATCAAATCGGCACAAAACATTTTGCTGATGGACTTTTTCATCCATCACTCAAAGCCATTTGCCGTGCTCTCTGTTATACCCCATTCCCAACTGCCAATTTCATGCCGAAAAGCTTTAAACCTGGTTCAAAGAACGCTAAATAAATCTGCCCATGAATGTCTGGATATTTTTTAAAGCGGAACGAAGTGAGGTAGAAATATATCATAGTAGTAAATGTACATGACAAAAACATAGATCAAAAACTTCCATGAGAATGAACAGAACTGTAGAAAAAGGTGGACAAAAATCACTATTAGATAGTAAAAACTAAATGAAAAAAAAAACCTTTGCAACCTCCAGTTCAAGTATCGGTAAACTTTGCTTGAAAAAAAACAACACCAAAAATAGAATGAATGCCCTGCTCAGCGTATGTTCTTTGCAGATAACACTTTCTTCTTGATTTTATCACAACTGTGGAGATTATTATATAAGACACCATGAATATTACAGCCAACTCATGCTGAGTGTGCTCACTGTATTTAGCCTTCAGCGAGTCAACACAAAAACTTGGTAATTGTCCAGACCAGTCAGTGGTCCAAGTTTGGTGATTAAACATTTAAACAGGACATGCAGATAGACTGGTAGAACATTTCCTTTGACTGGCCACCCTGCGTGGCCCCATAGCCTCGATCAGTGAGAGCAGAGGGCGCGGAGCTCTTGTTTGCTGGCGGGCACTCTTCCAGCCAGCTCCATGAGGAGAATGCACAGCACTCCGGCACGGATCCTAATCACATTACTCAGGCCTTACATAGACATCTCCCCCCCGTCCTCCATTTCCGTTGCAGAACTGGATTAAGGATCCTAAAATGTGATGAGCGGTTTTGTCTTATGAGGAGCTGCAGTGTGAACCAGAAAGTGCACGAAAAGAGCCCGGGAGACACGTTGATGGATTTTTTGCGGTGTCTCGTTGTGCGCTATTGTTTCCGTGTTAGTGTTCGGGAGGGGGTACAGCAGCGGTCTGGGGTATCGGTGGCACACGGATACTCGATCAAAAAGCTTTTTGTGCTCTACCTCTGAGAGGGAGCAGCTGTGAGCTTCAGCACACCTCAAGCATTTGCTCTCCACTACACTGTCTCATGCCCCACTGATCTGCCCTCCGCTCCTCTTCTGTCCCCTCAGCCAGCAAAAGACAAGCTAACATTCATGCCCCACATACAGATGAGGACCCTTCCAGCGACACATCTATTCTCACTTAGTAATGAATTTCCGCAAGCCTTTTAAAAGTAGACTCAAGGGCTGGCAGCTTCCGCCAACATTATCGTGGTTATTTTGTAGGGGAAAAGCGAGTAAATTCAACGTCCACATTTTCCTTTTTTCTTCTAATTTCTCGTGAAAAAGCCTGCACCATTTCACAGAATGAAAACAGGGCTGTTTTCATCATTTTGAAGAAAGCAAGATAAAAGGTTTTTACTCTGAGGCCACAGCCAGAAACTAATTGGCACACAAATACAGATTGACAAGCTTGCTTCATTTAGCCATTATTCAAACAGAGAGGTGTTGTCTGTATTACCCATCTATGCCCACAAAAGAGCCTGATCAACAAAAAGGCAAACATTTTGTTTAGACTTTCATGTCTCATTCATGCGTAATTTCTTTAAATTTCATAAAAACAAGAGCCTGCAGTGTCATTAAATGGTATCTTAAGATAGATCAGATTCTGCATGATGATAGCAGGATTAATAGTTTTTTACTGTTTGTGTAGGATGTGAATCAAATCATCTTTGTGGAGTTTTAAAGAAGCGTTCTCATGACTGGAAACTCTTCATAAAACTGTTTGTTCTTCAAGAATGAACTGTTGCAGCATTCACAGTGCTTCACTTTTCGTGTCCTGTAAATCCTAACAACTGTACAAACAACGATCATCAGGGAATAGAATTGTGTATTGTGAACTCATTGTTCTGCTTGTTCAAACAATAACCTAATTTTCTCCAAATTAGCTCTAGACCTTGAACTGATGCCACTCCTATCCAGCAAACCTCCCTCTATTTTAACCCATTTGGACAGAAACTATTGTAGTCGATTCTCATCAAGCAAATGGGTTCTCAATTTTTTCTAAACTGAAAAAATATGATTCACATTGATGATTTCAAGCTTCACAAAAGCAATAAATGATATTTTTCATCTTCATATTATCATTTTGTGCCAGTTTTTTTTTCTTTCGTTACTTTTTGCTCTAAAATGACTCTGTTTCTGGAACACATTCAATATTGGGGGAGAAATTGGGGGAGTAAATGATACAGCTGAAATGAAGTGTGACAGAGATTAGATTCCAGCATGAAAATAGATTCCCATCTCTCCATGTTCACACTGGAGGCAGCTTTACTTTAATCCTTGGTTCTTGAAGAAATGTCAGCTTTTTTCAGTTCTAACTGTATGGTGGACGGATGCAGGCTTCTTGGTGTTTTTCAGACATTCACACTTGTTATATTATAGTCACGGACATGCTGGCCAAAGCTGTGGGTGTTTTGGTTCAGGCTCACCTCCTAGTTGTTTACCTACCTGAGCAACCAGGGAGATTTTTCGGTCATACAATTCAAACTGCAAATGACTGTGAAACTGCCTTTGGAATAGATTAAAGGCAGAATTTGAGGTGTTTAGAGATGTCTGAGAATTGAGTTTCCTAAATATTTCAAACATTCCTGCCAAATATGCAAAGGGATTTTTTTTTTAATTAGCACAGGTTCAGGTTGAAAGCATTCGATAAAAGAGTAAATATTTTCAAGAACGAAGATGTCATATCTCTGCTTTTAATAAATGTAAAAATATGACC